ACTATGAATCTCCTCCATTCTATCTCTGAAAACAAACGAGACTTCAAGTCCTATGTTGCGGTCTAAAAAGGTTGTCTAAAAATAAAAAGGTATCAATAAAAAAAAATTAAATAAAATTTGTAATTTGTAAAAAAAAATCAGTGACATAATATTTTACAAAAAAAATACGTGTAAAAATATTTTAAATTAAAATTTTATTTTGACCTTTTTTTTTGTTTGTATTTTTTTTTCTATCTACTGATCATCCGATAGAGAAATATTATGATAAACTATATTTTATATATTTAGAGAAATATAAATTTTAGTAAAACGTTTAAAATTTCTACCATAAGACTATTATATATATCCAAATTTAGTTAACATAATTATTATGTGTTATTTTATCACGGACGCAAATTTTCTTTATCTATTTTTCTGTTACGATTGAAAACATAAAAATAAAAATTGATACATAAATGAAAATGTCAACAAAATGTGAATCTATTCCCCATCTTATAATTAGAAATAAATTTTGAATATAGACATTGTCCGTAAATAAAGAGATGTTATTTCATGTGTGTATATCTTTACGTTAAGACATTTCTTTGCAAAATTTTATTTGAATTAAAATTTAACAGTTGCACCGTATAGGCTGTGTTTGGTTGTGTTTTGCAATTATCATTCTACACCTTTATTCAAGTATCATGTTTGGTTAGGATTCTCAATGTTAGAACAATCTTCTATGTAAATAAAATAAAATGAAACAATTCAAACAAAATAAAATAAACTTACAGTATTTATTTTGTAGAGCCGAATAAATAATTCAAAGACCAAGTCGAGTGCGTGACACTCTGTCCTTAAGACAAATTCGTCCCGCTATGATGCTTACGATTGAGTGGCGTCTATCTCGCAGGATACAATGATCTTCACAAAATTATTGTAGCACACCAAACAAATTTGTACACGCGAACCAATCCTTGTGTTCTAATACTCTCTTTAAAATGTCTCTAAAAAAACTAGAATGAGGAATAAAATGCAAAAGAGAAAAAAAATCTGGACAGCAGTATATAGGATACAGACTTAATTTTTTCGGATCTAGAACACTGCTGGAAATGTTGGTATATAAAGGCACAAAATTCTGTCCCAACAGGTGTGTAAACTGTCAAACAAATATGAAACTGTTTTACAGATTCAAAATGAAAACTGGACAGATCTTGAATTTGTCTGAATTCCAATAAACCTCTGTAACATAATTTAGGATGTGTTTTTCCATCCAAAAAACTGCTGGAACAAGTCTAGTATAAATAGACCCGAACAGGTATGTAATTAACTTGAATAGGTGCATTTTGAAATGAACATATATCATTCAAAATTCAAACATGTTGGAACAAAACTGTCCAGATTGAATATATTCGGACAGTTAAGAATCTGTCCGGTTTTAAACAGTTAGAAAACCTGTTTGAATTGAAAATCTATTGTTGAATATTTAGACAGGAAAAAGTTTATTTGGACAAAAATTTTAATTCAAATTTGTATTAAATTCCTGCAATAATTTTTTGTAAAAATTCAAATGAATTTTGTCAAAAAAATTAATATTAAAACCGACCCACCACCCACACCCGCGGCCGGCAAGGTTGGACGGTGGCACGCATGTGGTGGTTTGGGCTAAGGTTCATTTTGTCCATAACTTCTCCCTTCTACAAACTTTGGGTGCCCCTTGGGGCCCAACCCAAGTGTTGTAGGCTAGAGTTTATAAACTCAACAAAACTCTCTTAAAGTTTCATTGTGGGACAAGCCTCACAAGCAAACCCACATTTAAAACTTAAATGTTCAATTCCATGAACCTGAAAACGACATAATGTTCCCATTCACTTATAAATGGTTTTGATGAACCGTCTTCACCGTATGACTTGTCACGCCGCAACGAACACTTTACCTCTTCGGACCCACCCCAAAAGACGTTCGGGGCCCATTCAATTTTGGGCTCAAAGTCTGCCCAAAACAAGCCTAATGAACCAATTTTTTCCAACACTCAAAACACATTTCAAAAACTCTACACAAAACACTCTGTGTCAAGCGCGGTTTTTGGATTTTTTTTTTTTCAAATTTCGCCTAACCGGTCATCTCACTGGTTGATCGGAACAGTAATTTTTTTTTTAAAAACAATTTACATATATTAATTTTTATATATTCAAAAAAAATATTTTTCAAATTTTTAAATTTTTTATGTGTTTTAATAGAATTTTGAGTTGTATGTTTGATAATGAGTTGTAAGTTTTTATATCAAATATCATATGTCACATCAAAAATTTTCTCATTCAATTCAAAACTCTTCACCAAATAATTTTTTCACACTTAAATCATAATTCTAAAACTCACAAATTCAAAATATAACTTATACTCTCAAATTATATTTACAAAATTCTACCAAACGCATCCTAATTTTTTTACGGAAAATGAGTGAGAGCACTAATTAGTGCTATCACTAATGATGTGGCAGTGGGTCCCATCAGGAATGATTTGATGTTTTGATCTTGGTGTTATATTTTTTTTTTTATTAAATATCATGTTATTAGTAATGTTTTTAGAGCTCTAAAATTAATAGTCTCTACCATTGTTATTTTTTTACTTAGGGGTTGTTTAGAATGACATAAATAAATGTATTTTTTATTTTTTTATAAAAAAATATACAGAAAAATAGAAAGTGATATAATAAAAAAAAAATAAAAAAATAAATTATTTGAGAATCCCCAAACTTAACATTATTTCTAACTTGGTAATTAAAAAAGTCATAACTGAAGTCAAATCGTAAGTTAATGACAAAGCGTATACATGAAATTTTATAATTTATTATTTAATTTGGAAAACGGTGAAATTTATCTTCCCAATTCATCAATCTCAAACCGTTTCTTCACCCATTCCCGCCCTTCGATACAATTCGTCAAGCCCACGTCACGCACTCGCTTTAAAATCGTCAGCACTATTTCACAGTCCGCCACAAACAGCATTAAAAAAATAAATAAATAAATAAAATAAAATTATTGATGCACTCCACTCTCTCCTCCAAACACTCTTCTCCACCTGCCAAAATAAAACACGATTCTACACTTGTGACATTTGAGCATGTTTGCTTTCACTCCACGTTAAGAGAGTGTTTGGTTGCACTAAAAAAAAGTATATTTTTTTTATTTTTTTGAATTATATAATTTTTTTATATACCTTTTCATAAAAAATTAAAAATATATTTATTTAAATTATTTTAAACATTCCTACCAAGGTTGAACAGGGGCAGCCGAGGTAAGAAGTTAGAGGAGAAGACCGAGCTAAGGACAGTTCGGCCCTTTGTGGCTCGGCATAGCCAATTTTACTTCGGTCACATGGAGGTTCGGCCATGGAGAAAACCATCCCACTTGGTTTAAGCAGTGGGGGAGGGTGTTAAAGGATAAGCATTATCCGTTGGAGTATGAATCCTAGGAGGACTCTGCATGGAAAAATACCAGCCCTACCAGGATTGTGCCACGGGAAACTTATAAAAGCCTATAAACATCACCTTGGAGGAGGTAATTGAACACAATTCTTTTTGAGAGCATAAAACTTTGTCTATTTGTCAAGCTTACTGACTTAGGCATCGGAGAGGTTTCCGGCACACACCCGCCGGCTAGCTCACGTTTGTGTTTTCAGGTGATAAAGCGACGTCGTACGGAGGAGCATGGACTTGGTCAACAGGATTATACGAGGAGAATTATTTCCTCCCCGTACACTTTTCATAAAAAATAAAAAATATATTTATTTAAATTATTTTAAACATTCCTAATATCATTTTGACTTTTAGTAAATTATATTATTTTTTTTATGTATCTTTTTATAAAAAATTAAAAATATATTTATTTAAATTATTTTAAACATTCCTGATACCATTTTAACTTTTAATCCTAACACGAGTCCATTTTGACTTTTAGTCCTAACACGAGTCCAATATTTATTATTATTGTTGTTTAACTAACATGAATCCTATCTTAGATTTTTCATATGACAAAAAAATAAAATAAATAATAATCATTCTTAATCACATAAAAATCTTCATAAGGAGCCTCATCCAACCCAGCCTCATATAGACCTATTTTGAAAAGATGATTAAAAGTTAATTTCTTTGACTTTTTGTTTATTTTTTTTAAAAAAAAAATATGTAAAAAATGTAAGAAATAATGTAACAAAAAACGTGTTAAAAGTTAAAAGATAACTTTTAATTATCTTCTCAAAATAGTCTATACTCTAAAAGGTTGGGCTTTGTTCATAGTCATTATTAGTTGTTTTGAGTATAACTTAATTTTTGACTTTTTTTTACTTATTAAAAAAAGACGTACAAAAAATAAAGAGTTTATGTGATAAAAATAAGCTTTTTTTTTTTTTTTTTTTGGGTTGGAAAAAATTTAGGCGAGGAGAGACTACCCCAATTCAAGACTTTAAAATCGCCCACCAAAGAGTGAGAACCGAATTTAAGCCTTGAAAGCCAAGAGTTGGATTCTTATTACTCAATCAGCCTCCATCAATATGTAGTATAAATAAATTAATAAACAACTTATTTAAAATGTGCCAAAAGAGGGCTATAAACCTTTCATGACTCAGCCCAAGGCCGTGAACATGTAGCGCCCAAATAGGAATCCGGCCCATTCCCACACGGGTGCTCAGCCATATCTAAGGCTCACATGGTTGTTTTGGGAATAGATTAAAAGTTAATTTTTTTAATTTAAAAAAAAAAGTGTATGAGAAAATAATTTAAAACTAAAAAATTGATTTTTAACCTCTACTAGTATTGTTTTCAGAAGTGATTTATAAATTAATTTTTTAACTTATTATAAAATAATAATAATATTATTATTATTCAAATAAACCAATAATTCACTAAATCGGCTTTTAAATGGCTTCTCAAAATGGGCCTTAACCGGTTCAATACAGAGAGTCTTATCCACTCGCATTTTTAACGAATTAAACCGGGTCTAATCTTCACCCACTCACTATACCATACTATACTATACTGGTCGCATCTCTGTTCTATCCAAACTCTCTTCCTCTTCCTTGGTTCTTCTAGCGCAACCCAGATACCAGACTCTGCGCACAACCATTAAACCATGAATAGCTGCTTATCAACGAGCTTCACTGCTCGAATCTCCCCACCTTCCAAGCAATGCGAACTGCGTCATCGTCCCTCCCACCTCTGCAGAACATCACTGATCCTTCGACCCTCGCTCACTCACGGAGCTCCGACAAGCATCGTTTGCATGGCGGTCCGTCCCTACTCTTCAACTTATAAACCCTAGTTTCCGTTCCTGATGCTTTGTTTGGTTGCCAAGAAAACAAAAGGAAAAAATTAGGACTCGTAAACCTAATTTTGTGATTGTTATAAAATTTGCAGGAGCCTTATATGATAACAAAACTTGAATCTGCTGAGAAAACGTGGAAAGAACTATCGGTACTCTTCCTAATTTTTGTTTTGTGTTCTTGAATTTGTTGAATATCTCAAGACTAATTCACTTTTTCATTCATTTGTTCTCATTTTGCTTTTGTCGATTGTGTAAACTGCTTTGCACTGGAACCTAGTTTATTGTGACAAGGATGAGCACTTTTGAGATGGTATCTATAAGGAAAAAAGAAAAAAAAGAAAACTTATTTTCATTGCGATTAGAAGAAATAGAGTTTATGAGCATATTGTTGAAAAATAGATAAGGTAGATAGCCTGATAGTAACTATTGAAGAATGGGGCTTATTGAAGAAATGTAATTTTGGGTTTAGCTTTACGAAAGAAGAGTTATATGAAGTGGAGAATAAAGAATTGACATTGTATGACATATTTGTGACTCTCATGAAATGAGTAAAGAGATAATTTATTTTCTGAGATTAAACATTGTGGTGACTGACATACTCTATTAGCTCACACTGAACATCTGTAGACTCCTGCTCAATTGAATGTTAACCGTGCCCACTTCACACTCTAGGTTGACCTGTGAAATTCACAATCTCATGGGTGTGTTGAAGAATTTATGCGTATATCTTTACAAAAAAAGATTTTTTGCGTATATGTGTATTAAGTATTTTTTTATATTTAGCTTTGTAATATGTGGATATCAGACACATAAATCAGGTGTCCTTTTTTTTATTACAGACTATCACTCATGATATTTTTTCCTGTTTGTTTAAGTGAATTTAAGAAATTTATCAAAGGTTAAGATATCAACTGTATCACCTATTCTTATTGTGTAGTGGATGCAGTTGTTTATGTAAGATGTTGCACATTATAATCTGTATTGTAGGTCAAGCTGGCTGATCCAGATGTAGTATCAAATAATAGTGAATACCAAAAGTTGGTGCAATCAATGGCAGATCTTGATGAGGTACTGCCCTTTCCAATGTTCTTTATGCTTCTCAAAGTAGGGAATGCGAAACACTTATTTTACTTTGTTTACTAACACCCATTATGCATTCTGCAAACTAGTAGGTTGTGTCAACATTCAGGACATTCAAGGACTGTGAGAAGCAATTAGAAGAATCAAAAGGTTTTCTTTTTTCTTCTACTTTTGTGCTCCTGTTGGACATTTATGTGAACCTGATGAATATTTTTGAAGAGTAATCTTTTTTGTGACCTCATCATCTTCATACCAGCTCTAGCGAAAGAGGCAGTTGGTGATGTAGATATGGCGGAGATGATAGCTTCTGAGATTGAAACCTTGTCCAATCAACTCAAAGAGCTTGAGGAGAAGCTCAAGGTTTTTATACGTAAAGTTTTCTTTAACATTTACAAGATTGACTGTTTAGAACTGCCTTTTACCTCTGTGTGTGTGTGTGCGCGCATGCTGCCTTTTAGCTGCTTTATTTTCTCATTTATGATATTTTATCCCAAATTGGCAGGCGTTGCTGCTTCCTAGTGATCCTCTTGACGCAAGAAATATATTGCTTGAAGGTAAGTACTTTATTCATTCATTTAGCACGCACATTTGTCTCATTATTGGTTCACTCTCTTAATTTAAATGTTGGTTTAACTTCCCTGTTCAAGAAGTGTGCAGAACTATATGAAATTGTGTTTGTAAAAATCCAGAGACTTTTTTTTTTACTTTAAAAAGTAAGAAAAAATGCTGAAACTTAGGGGGGAAAGTAGTAATTAATGGAAGAGCTTTTGAAGAGGAAGAAATACAAAGGCATATATGACGAAGAGATATAATCAGTTTTGACTTTTTGTCATTATGTTTATATTATCATTTACCCTTCACATCTAACTCATGAGTTGTGACTGTAACTGTAACTGTATTGTACGTGAGTTCACTGAGCATACCTATTCCCTGGTGATTATTTCTGTACAGGTACTTGAGGCATGAACTTGTAGGTGGAGTTGTTGTGAGGGCATTACCAAATGGCTATCGTTTGTCAACAACAATTTTCGAACAAAAAAATGTGATAGTGACACCAATTATTTTGGGACTTGGCACACATGGATTTTACATCTGAACAACAGCTATAAACTTCATGTCTAAGTATTTGCTTATCAGAAATGCCCAATGAAATTCATATTCTTTTGGTTAAAGAATGTGTAAATATAAAATAAATCAGCATCGTAATCATGAATGTTATGGTTTAAAAGGTGACCGGACCTGTGCATTTGAGCTGAATTGGAGTCTATCTCACCCAACTGTGAAACGTTTAATGTAATATTAAAGACGAGAGATTAATAGTTCATATCAAAAATCCACACTGGGTTCAGGTGATAATTCAATCTAGCTTGTTTGAGTGACAGAAAAAGGTAGGTTCAGCGAATTCGTAAGTTCAGGTCAGATTTTCCAGCTCCAGTGGGTTATGGCATGCATGGCTATGACTGACCTAATAGACTGAACTTATTACATCTTTGAGATTGGATCTGTTGAGATTCAAGAGCGTTTATATTGGGGAGCACTGCAGTGTTAATGTCTTTCTACTTGTTACTTTATAAAAATCAAACAAACTTCCTTTTGAATGCTCTGAATAAATGCTAACCACTTACTCTATAGGTCTATGGTTTTGACCATTTGTATCAATCAATTAACATTTCTGAATTCGTAGCTGCAAGTCCCAAACTAATTGGTGTCGCTATCACATTTTTTTTTTCTTTGAAAATTGTTGTTGACAATGCATAGCCATCATGACCATTCTACCATTTGTTTGGTTATGAAGAAAAGGGAAAAGAAAAAGAAAACAAACATAATATAGCTCACTAGTTCATCATGACCCATGGCCCAAGTTCAGCTTATGCAGGAATTATAGAAATTCTTAGAGCAGACAGATGTTAGACTTTGGAAGTGGAATGGTAATGAGATACATGGAACTCTGTGACATTCAATTCTTGATGAGGATTTTTTATTTGCATTATGTTCCATATTATTAGTTTTTGCTTGTGTTTGGTGACAAACTCCGTTTGTGTGTTTTGTGATTTGTCTTTTCTGTGTTTCATTATGATCAATCATTTGATACATAAAATTCATGGTCTTGTTGTACAGTGAGGGCTGGTACTGGAGGTGATGAGGCTGGATTTTGGGCTGCTGATCTTGTAGGTACATGTTTCTTTTGTCCTTCCAAATTCATGGCATGGAAACATGCCTTAAGTTTGTATTAACAGATGCTGGGTTATGCAAGCTTGTTGCTTCTTGTTCAAATCTAAAGGCACATGGACATAGAAAAGAAATTTACTGTTGCATTTGATGATATATGTATGTGTGGCCTTGAAATTGATTTTCATGTCTTGACACCACAATGCCAGAACCAATCTCACAAAATAACTGTGACTGGAATTATGATATTTGCGCTCTATAGCTGGACTATTCTTGAGTTTACCTTTCACTTTCTGATAAGAGTTTAAAGTCCTTCAGGTACGAATGTATCAAAGGTACAGCGAGCGGAATTCGTGGAAGTTCTCCCCACTTTCAAGCTCTGAGGTAGATATTTTGCTTACCTGCTTAAAGCATACATGCTGTCTTTTCTGTTGGCACTCGTTAAATTTGTTTCTCCTTTTTAAGACTGAAAAAGGAGGATTCAAGACATATGTGATGGAAGTTAAAGGAAATCGTGTCTATAGCAAACTAAAATATGAGTCTGGTGTCCATCGGGTTCAACGTGTTCCTCAGACAGAAGCCCAGGGTCGTGTGCATACGTCTACAGCAACCGTGGCAATCATGCCTGAGGTATATTTTCTTTCGTGCATTTGGTACACTTGTCCATATTTGGCCTTTAAAATGATTCTACGTGTCAGTCTGGTTAGCTAAATAAATAGTGATGCTGGCAGGATTAATCTACATTTGTCAGTGTTGCATTCTGTAATACCCTGCTTATCTTGACATCGTGTTGATCTTGCTTAGTATTTCCTGGTCTATGGAATGATATCATATCAGATATTCAATTTTCACTTTGAATTTCTTTTTTGTCTTCTTTCCTCACTTTATACTCTCCTTAATGAAGGCATCATTCCTAATGTTTGATTCTCTGTCCTTGTGCCGTATTTTGTTTCAGGCTGATGAAGTTGAGGTGGTAATTGATCCAAAAGAGATAGAACTAACAACAGCAAGGTCTGGCGGTGCTGGAGGTAGTATCAGGAGGCATTTAATTAACCTTTTTATCTAGTGAATCAATTTCCTTTGTGGGAGGAAAGACTTAAGAACATCTTCATTTTTTTCTGTTCTTGTGCATTCTGTTTTTCCTTTCCTATTATATATATAGATATATATGAATGTCACATCTAATGCACGAGTTTGCCATGCAGGGCAGAATGTCAACAAGGTGGAGACAGCTGTTGATCTTTTTCATAAACCAACTGGAATCCGAATCTTTTGCACCGAAGAAAGAACTCAGCTCAAGAACAGGAACCGTGCTCTTCAGTTGTTGCGAGCAAAACTGTGAGACATCATCAGATGAACGTGTCATTTTAAACTAAAGTTTCTTAGATTTAACTTGCAAGTAAACTAACTAGTGCTCAATTTTCTACGTAAAGAGAAGTTCACAATCTTTGAAAAACTCAAGTATCGTTTATCAGACATGAAATTCTTTAAACTTTCGTGTGGGCAAACTTTTTTTCCCTTTTAACATTTAGAATGTCGCATATGGATCTACCGGGGATTTCAAAAATAGAATTGTGATTTACAAACTTTATTGACTTTTTTTTTTTGGTTTGTTTTGGTTTCCCACTTTTTAGTGTAAAATACTGGTGAAAAGATTGAAATTAACCAAGTTTTTAACTTAAAGCAATTCACAGCTGCTTTCATGACTTAAAATTCCTACTAAGATAATCCATTTGTTTATATTTCTTGAGCCAGTCATCATTGGTATGGCAAAAGTTCGTACTTTACGAGAAATAATCAAGAAACCCTGTAATCCTCAATGGTTGCATAGTGTCTTTTACTATGTTATTATAAAACGGGTCCGTACCTATGGTCCTTATTGATTATGGATTTGGGGTTCTTTTTTATGTTTTTGTATCTATATCCTCTTCTTTGTTCTTTATTCACTTAACTCAACAACCCTTGCCCTAATTTCCTCCAGTTGGTTCAAAAGACTTATTTTGTTTTCACTGCGTATATTACTTATTTTAAAGTTTCATCATAGGTTGACCTATATATCTGCATCCTTAAGGTCAAATTCCACTTGGGAAATTGTAGTTTTTTACATGCCTGATGATCCATGACCTTGTTCCAGGTATGAGATTAAAGTAAGGGAGCAGCAAGAGTCATTAAGGAATCAGAGAAAATCACAGGTTTTTCATCTTTGCTTTCTGAATTTGTTCAATCTGAATGATACAATTGTGTGATCATGGAAGCAAATTGCCCTTATTGGGCTCCCTGGGGGATCAGATTAGAATTTTGTCTCATGCTATTTCGAAAATTGGCAGGTTGGTACAGGTGCCCGTGCAGAGAAGATTCGCACATACAATTTCAAGGTGCTTGCACAATATTTTAATTCCCTTGAGTTTAATATAGCATGACATGTACCCTGGATATTTTCCCCCATCTTTGGTTTTGAAAGGCGGGGTTTAGGAAAATCCTTTTTGCTCACCACTCATGCTCACACGCATGTTTTCAAACTCGGACCGGACCGGCCAGTCGGACCGGGCCTTGTTCCGGTTCTGTCAACCCCCTAAACCCGGAGTGGGAGCAAAACCAGGAAAAACCGGTGACCTAGTGGTTGAACCGGGAAAACCGGTGACCCGGGCCGCGTCAAGAGGGTCAGACCAGTTTGTTTTTTCCGATTTTTTTTTTTTGATTTTCTGTCTTTCTTTTTAACATATTTATATATAAATTTTGACTAAAAATTCTTATTTCAAGAGTCTTCTCTCATAAGGAAGAGTCTCATTGAAAGCTTGAGAAGATTACAAAAGTCTATTCCTATTTATAGGAAAAGATTTTTCAAAGAGAACCTACAAAATTCTATGTGGGATTCAATCAAATTATTTGAAACATATTGATTGGAGGGAGAGTTGAAAATTTCATTTCCCTCCAAAATTAAATCTAGCATTCAATCAATTTATTTTAATATATATATATAGAGGTTGCTTTGTTGCTTATTCACTCAATGAAATGATCTTCTCTCTCTGCTTTGAACTGAAATTTATCTGGATTGATCAAGAAAAATTTTCTGGTTTGAACTGAAATTTCTCTGGGTTGGTCCAGAGAAATTCTCTGGTTTAAACTGAATTTTCTCTGGATTGGTCCAGAGAAATTCTATGGTTTGAACTGAAATTTCTCTGGATTGATCCAGAGAAATTCTCTGATTTGGATTGAACTATTCCTCAAGTGTTGTCCAGAGAAATTTCTGTGAATTTTCTCTGGTTTGGAAATCATGTTTTTTGAATCTTTGGTATCATGTTTTATTTTTTCTTTTTAAACATCCAAAGATGAACTTTGAGCTCACTTCATTTCTTGATGGTGACATTGAGACAGCAGTTCAGGTACATGTGGATCTTAATTTTTATCATGTTGTGGGTACACGTGTGTATGCATGTTGACTGTGTGTCTGTGTGTGTATAATGCAAAATAGAAATCTTAAAGTTGTGATGTTCTTTCAGTCTTGCGCTGCTCTGGAACAAAAGGAACTACTGGAAGAACTTGCTGAATCTGTAGGCACACTAGGTAGCTGATTTCGTGGAACTCTGGATGATTCCAGTTCCAGGGTACAGAATGGACTGTGGAGGCTTCCATGCATTTGGCACTTCAACTTACCACTGAAATGCTGACATGGGCGGAGCTATGCATGAATTTGGATTTTTTTTTTTTTTATTTTGAAAATTATGTGTTGTATAAATTTTTTGGGAGGTTTTCATGAAAATTGTTCAAAAAAATAGATTTATCAACCAAAAAAAAAAAAAAAATTGTTTTAAAAGAATAATTAATTTTATGTTTATTGTTTTTTTATATCATGTTTTGTTTAGCACGCATAACTGTTTATCGTTGAATCTAAATATGAGCGAGACTTATATAGATATGGTTACAATAATTGTGTATTTCACATGAATAATGTTAGGTATCATAAAAAAATATCATGAAATATTTCATGAAGATTTTTTGTCCTTTGATTAGTGGCGTCTTATATTGTTTGTAATCTAGGCAGAGAATTTTCATGAAACTTTTCACTCTTAAAATAAAACACCATTGAAAATATTTTTAGGTTGGAATAGAATGTTCTTTCCAATTTTGATTTTCCACGGTTCACTCCCAACTACAATGTTTGAGAACTTAGGTTGGACTAAAATAGTAATAAAAAATAAAATGAATTAAAATAGTTTCTAAGAAAAAATATTATATTTAAACTATAATTATTATTATTTACAATTATTAAATTAATTATAAAAAAAAAATCAATTATCATCTCAAACATAATTTTTTTAATCAGTTTATTTTTTTCTTCATAATTATTAAATTAACTATAAAAAAATCAATTATTATCACAAATATATTTTTTTAATCAAATTAAAATAATAAAAAAATCAATTAAAATAATTAAATTCCCAAACCGGCCCAAAGTATCTTCCATGTGGCGAACAGCGGGATGCCCAAGTGGCAGCTTTGACTTATCATCATCACTGCCTACTGACTCTCTCTCTCTCTCTCTCCTAAATGGGAAGTTATCTCCAACCTTATCTCTCCCCAATTTTTCCACATATAAATCGCTTCAACACTTTCACCAGTTTCTCTCTCCTCAACACTTCCATGATCAAAAGACTCCTATTCTATTCCTCTGTTCGCCGCTTTCTCTCTCCTCCTCCTCATCCCACCTTTCCTACAAAAGACTCGCACAATATACTACGAGTTGCCTCACTTTCTTGGCCTTTATCAGTCCCATCCCGACGACCCATTCACTCCCACCACAAGGTCCTTGCCATGACTGAACAGTCCCAGAAGCCGCCTTCACAGACCACCCACCACAAGCACACCAATCGTCTTGCTTCCGAACACAGTCCCTACCTTCTTCAACATGCTCATAACCCCGTATGTCAAACTGGGTTCATCTCAATTTCTCGAATTTTCTTTCCTACGCTCTGTTTGATTGGTGAGAAAAAAAGAAAGAAAAAAAGGGCATTGAAATTCGAACTCAATTATTCTTCTTCAGCTATCTTAAGCAGTCTATTCTCCAATTTTTATTTCTTAATTGTGATACTCATTTGATTTTTTTTTTTTTTGTTATATGAAGGTCAATTGGTATCCATGGGGTGAAGAAGCATTCGAGGAAGCTCGCAAGAGAGACGTACCCATCTTCTTATCAAGTACGTTCTTTCTTTCGTCAAACCCACATGGTATTCCAATTACTGATGTCTAGGTGCTGAATTGTGAAACTAACTGTTATGATGGGTTTTAATTTCCTCATCTGCTCATCTTTTTCAAAGTTGGATACAGCACCTGCCACTGGTGAGTCTCTCTGGAAATTGATATTTTATCTTTTTTAATGGTGGATGGTTAAATGCTGATTGTTTGTTTGGTGGGAAACTATTGATAAGGTGTCATGTAATGGAGGTGGAGTCCTTTGAGGATGAAGGGATTGCGAAATTGCTTAACGATTGGTTTGTTAGTATCAAGGTTAGTTTGTGTCCTAGTTAATTACATGAGTTCGAATTTGATATATTAATTTCAACTATATAACCCAATTCCAGACATGCAATGTTATGTTTAATTTAACAAGAATGTTTCTTTTTCCTTGTTGCAACAGGTAGATCGAGAAGAACGGCCAGATGTTGATAAGGTAAGTATATGAGCCTATGATGATATAGTAATTACTTTCTTGCAGCTATTCTCCTTGACTTTTAGTGTGTTTTTCACATTTTCTAAGCTGCGACTCATTTTGGATACAAGCTTTACATATTTACAAATCAATTTATGTAACCATTCCTATTGAAAGGAACTCTTTGTGAGACCAGAGTTGGTCCGTAGCCCTGAATGTTTTGGTTATTGAGTGTCCTTACAAGAACTACATGATGTTGATGGTTATCCTCTGCTTGAATGTTGGGCAATGGAAATTGCTCAAACAGAGGAGAAAAAGTAGGTGATAGTTTTTTATCTGTATAGTTGCATCCTTTATGATATAAGGTGTTCGAGATAATTGAAGTCCTTGCCAGGGTATTTAACTCTAGAAGTTTCAAGTGCAGTATTTGAATTTGAAATCTAAGCAAATGCATGGGAAAGAAAATCATGTTTTTTGTATTGTGAATTGTTAATAGAAAGGACTATTGTTTCTAAGATGTTCTTCAGAATTTTTTTTTAATATTCTGCTGAAAAAATTCTTCTATTTTCCAGGTATACATGACTTACGTGCAGGCCTTATATGGCGGTGGAGGTTGGCCACTGAGTGCCTTCCTTTCACCAGATCTGAAGCCCTTGATGGGTGGAACTTATTTTCCCCCTGATGATAAGTATGGAAGACCGGGGTTTAAAACTGTTCTTAGGTAAGGAGTAAGGGCACTTGGTCTAATTTTTGGAAGTGGTGGATACCTAGAAAAGAGTGCCGTTATTGGTAATTAAGTTGAGGTCTGGATTCTTAGTATATCTTCAGTTGATGTCACTGTCAGCTAGTATTTGCTATTTTTCCTGCATTCCTTTTTGATTATTTTTCTTTTGGGCACATTACACTGGCCTTGAAGTTTCTGACTAATATAGAATTTCTCCCTAGTTTCTAGAAATTAGGTGTTGATGAAGGTTACTGGATTTGATTTGCGGATTGATACAGTAAAACTGGGGGGAGAGAGATTCTCAAATGCTTAGGTAGGGAGAGAACAAAAAGTCAGAGGTTGATTAATTGGGTTGGGAGAGAGATAGAGACAAAACGTGGATAACTTGGTCATTTCTAATTAGAATACCAAGGTTATTAAGGCTATTAAGGCAATTTCATCAAATAATGTGTGTATTTGTTGATGTCAGCAATATTCGGTCAAAGCACCACTACCACTCAACTGGAGGGGTATCTATCCTGCAATTAGAAACCTAATGGGGTGGGTTATGATGTCAATAACCATAAGGAGTCAAATGTATTAGTTAGAAACCACAGATAAGGTTGGCATAATTCACTACCCTTTTATTTTCTGTGATAAGTTGCCCTCTCTGACAGTACACTTATTCATGCTTTTGTTTCAGAAAGGTGAAGGAGGCTTGGGATAGTAAGAGGGATGTACTTATTAAGAGTGGATCTTTTGCTATTGAACAACTATCAGAAGCATTGTCGGCTAGTGCAAATTCTAATAGACTGCCAGATGGGCTTTCACAGAAAGCATTGGAACTATGCGCAGAGCAAGTAAGATTTATCACATCAGGAGAAATGCTGTTTGTTTATCTTCTGATTTAGGTCTTAAAAATTGTGTACGAGTTCATACTGTGCCTAGTACCAAGTTTTTCTTTATTTTTGTTCATGGTATTCCAATTACTGATGTGCACCATATGTTTCTTCTAAGTTTTTTCTTTATTTTTGTTATAGCTTTCTGGAACCTATGATTCCAAGTTTGGAGGGTTTGGTTCTGCCCCCAAGTTCCCTAGGCCAGTTGAGATTCAATTAATGCTATATCAATCAAAGAAGTTAGAGGAAACTGGAAACTTAAGTAAAGCAAAAGAAGGCTTACAGATGGTGTTGTTTAGTTTGCAATGCATGGCAAAGGGAGGCGTCCATGATCACATAGGAGGCGGTTTTCACAGATACAGTGTGGATGAGTGCTGGCACGGTTTGTTTATTAAAAACATACTCCTTTAATCCCATTTTAAGTTCTCCATTGGTTCATCTACTAGTAATGACAACCTCATTAAGTTTGAATTTTCTTATTATTTATGGTGGATTTATTATTTAGTGCAACAGTTATTGAGATTGCTTTGTTACTTGCAGTTCCGCATTTTGAGAAAATGTTGTATGACCAGGGGCAGCTTGCTAATGTTTATTTAGATGCCTTTTCCATTACCAAAGATGTCTACTATTCATGTGTGTCTCGGGATATCCTTGATTATTTGAGGAGAGGCATGATTGGGCCCAGTGGAGAGATCTTTTCAGCAGAGGATGCGGACAGTGCCGAGTCTGAAGGTACGACAAGAAAAAAGGAAGGTGCCTTCTACATATGGACCAGCCGTGAGGTACTTGCAACTTTGTTTTCCTATTGATTTTGATGAGAAAAGTGAGGTTATCTATTCATTTTCTGGTGGATGTGCATGTTTGATGTATGCCCATTTACCCATCAAAGAAATCATTTGTTCTATTTAACCCAGCTTCTGGTTTGTTCTCAAAGACCAATTTCTTCTTCAGACATGGTGGGACCAAATATACAGTTCCCCAAAAGCATGTCTACCTCTCCTGGGCACAAGCTTTTTGTACTCATTCTTTCTTGCCTTAATCATTTCTCAGAAGTCTCCGTATTTCTGATTAACAATGAACCATGTAATGGCTAGAGTATGTTCTCTAGTAATGGGTTTTCCACAACAAGAAATTGAATGCATCTCTCATTAAAATACAATTTACAGCGTGCTAGTGCCTTTGTTGCCATTTCTTATCTTTGTTTATTATTTTCACCTGCTTTGTTCTATAAGGTCGAAGACACGCTTCAAGAGCATGCAACCCTTTTTAAGGAGCATTATTACATTAAACCATCAGGGAATTGTGACCTCTCTACAATGAGTGATCCTGATAATGAATTCAAGGGGCAAAATGTGCTTATAGAGAGAAATAATACTGCTGCAATGGCATCGAAATTTGGCATGCCTGTTGAAAAGTATGACGACATTCTGGGTGCATGTAGGCGGCAACTTTTTAATGTGAGATCAACACGACCACGACCACATTTGGATGATAAGGTACCAACTGTTTCTCATTGGAAGGAGTTAATAATCCTGTTAAAACTTCTTAGTTGTGATGAATGGTATGACAGATAATTTACTTGCTAGGTTATTGTATCATGGAATGGACTTGTAATTTCATCTTTTGCAAGAGCTTCTAAAATTCTCGAAGATGAACCTGAGGGGACTAAATTCAACTTCCCTGTCACTGGCTCTGATGTAAGATTTCACCAACCTTGACTTGTGTTAGTTGCTCAAATATGTTTAGGTAATTTGGAAAAAGGTTATTCAAGTATAATCTCATTTGTCGCTTATAAGCTGGTTGTTCTGTGCAATTTCAGCCAAAGGAGTATATGGAAGTTGCAGAAAAGGCAGCATCATTTATCAGGAAGCAGCTTTACAACCAGGAAACACGAAGGCTGCAACACAGCTTTAGAAATGGCCCGTCTAAAGCACCTGGATTTTTAGATGATTATGCTTTTTTAATATCGGGGTTGCTGGATATTTATGAATTTGGCGGTGCAGTGTTTTGGCTGGTCTGGGCAATTGAACTGCAAGATATCCAGGCAAGAACCACTATATAGCTCCATCTCTTTTCCCTGAGTACCACATATATATATATATATACTTGATGTTGTTCTGCAAATGTGTCAATCTTCTTGAAATTTAATTTTGCAGGATGAATTGTTTCTTGATGGAAAGGGAGGTGGGTATTTCAATACTCCAGGGGAAGATCCTTCGGTTTTACTCCGAGTGAAAGAGGATCATGATGGGGCAGAGCCCTCAGGAAACTCAGTCTCAGTGATCAATCTTGTTAGATTGTCCTGTATGGTTGCTGGCAATAGGTCTGATCATTACAGGGAAAATGCCGAGCATCTGCTGGTTTGTTTTTGCTTCTCTAATCTCTTTTTAGTTATGCTAAATTTGAATTTAGTTTTGGATGCATCTGATAGAGGATCTGATTTTGCAATTATTTTTACAGGCTGTTTTTGAGACGAGATTGAAAGATATGGCTATGGCTGTGCCTTTAATGTGCTGTGGTGCAGATATGCTTTCAGTTCCTTCACGAAAGCAAGTCGTCCTGGTTGGTCAGAAATCTTCCGTAGAGTTTGAAAAGATGCTTGCTGCTGCTCATGCATCATATGACCCTAACAGAACTGTGAGTCTTTTGATATCTGATTGGTTCTTGTTAAGGATTCAAGTGCACTTCTTGCCTGTTAACCAAAAAAAATAAACTAAACCGAGTACCCATATTTTGGCAGGTAATTCATGTAGACCCCACCGAGGAAGAAGAGTTGGAATTTTGGGAGGAAAATAATGGTAAAATTGCCACCATGGCAAAGAATAATTTTGTCAGTGACAAGGTGGTGGCTCTCGTCTGCCAGAACTTCACGTGCAGCCCTCCAGTTACCAATCCCAAATCTCTTGAAGCTCTGTTTTCTAAGAAAGATTCATTTTCCTCGTAAAAAGATTCGCTCTTCTGAGGGAATTTAGCTATGAAAATTCACTGATTTTCACTGATGTATATCCGAGTATGCTCAGCTCCGGTAAGAAGTCTGAAGTTGTATTTTAGGTGTAGTTAGAACTACATGACGGTTTGGTATTTAATAGAGACTAGTTTGCTCCCCTGCAAGTCGGTTTGGATCTATAATAAAGTTTTTAACTGATATTATACCAAGTTCGATTTCGATGTGTAATAATAAGTTTTTACTGATATTACAGAGTTATTTTTCCTCTGCACTAAATCTTGAAAATCAATAATATAAATTGAATATTCGTCCTTAAATATATATTGCTTCAAACAACAGTACTTGAAGTTTGATGTTTTTATCCTCTAATTGCATGGCCCCATAACAATTCTCCCAAAGAACCACCATTGTTAACTGGAGTGCTTAGAGCATTCACAATGGACACACTAAACTGTGTCTTAGTGTCAGGTGCCGAGTTTTGACTAGCTGAGGGTGTTGTTTGGGGCTGTAATGGAGCTGTTAACGTGTGTGTTAGTGTCAGATGTTAATATGTGTGATAATTGCAGCGAGCGTTTTAGCCAACGAAGGAGAGAGCGAATGTGCGTGTGGGACGTCCCCAGACGTCCGATCGGAAGTTCCCCGGACGTCAGGCTCTGAATCCTTCAAGAAAAGAAAAGAATTTTTTTTTTTTAATAATCACTGTATTTGGTTTTAATTTTTTGAATTTAATTTTCTAGAAATTGAGTTTTTTATTTTTTGTATTTTTTTATTTTTAGTAAATATTTTTAAAATTTTAAGCATTTTTTTAATGTTCTTTAGATAGATGTATCTAAAAAGTAAAAATTATTTATAAAAAATTATTTTAAAAAATTAATCAATACACAAGAATATGAAAAATATATTAAATTTTAGTATTTTTTTGTATTTTTAGTATTTAGTGATTTTTTTTCATAAATATTATATTTTTTTAAGTGTATTTATGTTAGGTATATCTAAAAATTTAAAAAATATATATTTAAAATATTAAAAAAAATCAATGAAAACAAAAAAAATGAAAAACAAAAATTTTTAATTTTCTAGAAAAGTAAATTCAGAAAACTCAAATCAAACAAGTTGGATATGTTTCGGATAATTTTTTGGCTATAAAAATAATATAAAAAATAGAGAGAAAAGAGAGTTTTTGATTTTTGATTTTTTTGTTTGCAAAAAAAGGAAGAATAATGAGTTTTTCGAACTATAAGTTTAATTTGAAAATTAATATTTAGAATTTAAAAAAAAAAAAGAAAAAAAAGAAAACATTGGGTCAAGAGAGAGAGAAATTAATAGAAGCAACCCTAGACTATAGCCAAAATACCTTTTATTCAGCAGATAGGTTTTGTATGCGTACAATCAACTACACCCAATCTACTAGGTAAGAAGCGAAGGGACGATTCTAGAATCGAGCTTTTAGGGTTTGAGGATGTGACAATCCCATTTAACCATTCTCAAGGCACAGTGAGTGAGTTCTTTAAGCTCTACCATATCAGTTTTAACTATGTTTTCTGTATTTCTTTCTATCAAACTGTTCCCAATCCAGAAGATCACAATAGATTCAACAACCCCACTTTTTTTCCTCTACAAGAAGCCATTGTTTCTCAGGCCCATTTCTTCAAAGAGCTCTACAAATCAATACTCTTTTGCACTTTCTAGTCTTATTAACTCTTCTGGGTTGTGTCCACAGGCTGCTCTGTCTCCTGAAACTTTAAAGAAATCTATTTCATCAGGAAAATCATCAATTGAATATTCTTTCAGTGTTTCTTACCTCATACATTCATGTGGGTTGTCACCAGAATCTGCTATTTCTGCTTCCGAGAAAGTAAAATTTGAATCCCCAGAGAAACCAGACTCTGTTCTTAACCTACTTACAACCCATGGATTCACCAATGCCCAGATAACCAATCTTGTGAGAAGACGCCCAGTGCTTCTTTTGGCCAATCCTGAGAAAACCCTTTCGCCCAAACTCGAGTTTTTTCAGTCTATAGGTGTTTCAAGAACTGACCTTGCAAGAACTCTCTCTTCAAACCCAACCCTCTTGACAAGAAGCTTGGAGAATCAAATCATACCTTCCTATAATTTTCTTAAGGGTGTGGTTCAATCTGATAAGAAGGTTGTCTCTGCTCTGAAGCGCACGTCATGGATTTTTTTGGAAGATCATAAGAAAAATATTGTTCCAAATATTGCTGTTTTGAGGGAAGATGAAGTGCCTGAATCGAGTATTGCATTGTTACTGACTCATTTCCCCGAGGCTATAATGCAAAAACATGACCAGTTTAGGGAAATTGTTAATGAGGTTAAGACAATGGGATTCAATCCCTTGAAATCGACTTTTGTGCTTGCGGTACATGCCATTTCAGGGAAGGGTAACAAATCAATTTGGGATCGATGCTATGAAGCATATAGGAAATGGGGTTGGTCGAACGATGAGATTCACTTGGCATTCAAGAAGCACCCACATTGTATGATTCTGTCGGAGAAGAAGATTACGAGAGCAATGGACTTTTTTGTGAACAAAATGGGGTGGAATTCCAAAATGATTGCAAGATGTCCAGTGGTTCTCTTTTTTAGCTTGGAAAAGAGGATTATCCCCAGGTGTTCGGTTATTCAAGTCTTGTCAGTGAAGGGCTTGATAAAGAAAGATTTGAGCTTGAGTTCAGTATTATTGCCAGTGGAGAAGTGTTTCCTGGAGAGGTTTGTGACCAAATATGAGGAGGAAGTACCTGAGCTTTTGAGTGTTTATCAAGGGAAGGTAGGCATTCTGGAATTATAATTTGGATAAGCAAAAATGAGTACTATTTTAAAGCAAATTTTCACATTTCTCCTGCTGATGATTCTTACTGTTTTTGCGCTTCATTGTTACTGTAACTTGCAATATTGTGTATACTATTATATCAGTTGTAACAATTGTTTGATATACCATGATATGTTGAGCTTTTTACTTCACCCCTCGAATCCGTTGGAGATGATTTTGCTCTCGGTTCATTGAACTGGTTTAAGAAGGATGTTGTGGATGTCTCGACTTGAGTTTAAATGGCAAGATTGGAGATAAATAATTACTAATAAGGTCCAAGCTCAAACTCCTAAAGTTGTGTTTTTGGTGCACCATGCCCTTGACCAACTCATCATTTATCTCTAATTTAAGCTCATATAATAATTTTAGAGAGGATTGTTGGGCATTCAAAAGAAAGTTTAATTTTCTTGGAGTGAAAGACATTCGCATTTGTATACAATAAAAAGGGAGTCAATTTTGGTTTTTCATCTTCGGTCTTTTAAACTATATTTGCATGTATGTCATTCTAAAACAGCTGTGGTGAAACTCAGTACTGGCATCAGTTTGGTTCCCTTCAAGGGGTGTTGTCTTGCTTCTCTGGCCAACAATTTACAAACAACAAGAGCACATTAATATTTGAAAGTTTATGGATCATATTCATCCTCTATCTTCTTGCTAAAGGGGAGTGAGGATGTGTATGCACATCAAAAAGGATTGTATTTGTGTTTTTTCTTTGCGATGGAAGAATGTTTCTGTGATCAAAAGTAACCCAACCATCTTCAAAGGAAATAAATAAATAAATAAACACCAACAGTCATAAATGAGAACAAGGATTGATTATTTCTGTTTCCAATATCGCTCACATAAATGTGAAGACTTTTCATATCTTAGATCCTGGTTCCGCAAGATTCATTTTCCCTAAATAAATATTCATCAGACAAAGAACATCATCCTGATATTTGTTCACAAACTTGTCCAGGAACAAATTCTCTCCGATTAGTAGAAAACTACTCAAGCACATATCTTTCTTTACCAAGCCAACAACTGTGCACTGCGGGATGATTCTCCGCTCCAGATTGTAGAAGAGGACTAACAGATTTCTAGCAACAACCCTGGGCTGCCAACTCATCATGTTTACAAGAAAATCCATTGTTTCCATAATTTTCCCCTCCAATAAATTCATACACAATGGATGCGATCTGAATGCCAGCATAATCTCATCATTAGACAAACGCCATCTTCCATAAACCTCCATTTTACGTTCCAATGTTGTCTTGCGCATTTCATGGAGCACTTAAACCGTGTCAGCAAATGCCAATCTCAAGGGATTGAATCCCATCTCAATAGCCTTATTCATACAACCTTTAAACTTGAGACAGTCCTGATTCAATGCACTAGGACATCGATACAGCAGGAACGGGATTACAGTTTTGAGACACCCCAGCTTCCCTCAATGCAGCCACATCAGGATCAATTTTCTTTTCCACATTCCATAGAAGAATCCTGGGACGGCGCTTTAACATTTTGATGGCATTTTCGTCAAGTAAAAGCACACTCTTAATGAAATTGTAACAAGGGATGAGCTGGTTTTGTAAGCTTCTAGCCAATAAAGATTGGCAGTGACTTGCACAGATGAGTCTTGGAAGGTCGGTACTTGACAAGCCAATAGAACCAAAGAAGTTGAGTTTGGGCCAGATGGTTTTTTGTGTGTCGGAAGAGAGGATTCGTGGGCGTACATTGACAATTTTGGAGATCTGGGTATTGGTGAATCCATAGTTTCTGAGGAGGGTTTTGACTAGCTCTGTTTTGTCTGGTGATTTCATAGATGAACCTAGAGGAGAAGGATTGTGCAAGGGACTACTGTGAACGATTTTTTGATGCGGAGTTGAGTGTACCACGAAACATTGACAAATCTATAGATTGGGGGGTAGATTTTAGAGAAGAAGAAAGAGAGCATTGTTCAAGAACAATTGAATTAAAGTGTGAAGAAGCTAAGCTCTCACGCTGCATCAAACAACCATGGAAATTGGAGTATGGAGTTGGAGAAAATTGAAATTTTCAGAAAATTGAAATATTTTATTTTTTGTATTTTTTTATTTTCACTGAATTTTTTTAATATTCTAAATAAATTTTTTAATTTTTAAATACACTTGATTAACAATAGGGTCTAGCTTATCTCATGTTTGAGATCAAGACTAGACCGTCTAGTTCGGCCCATGGGCCCATTTTGGGTCCGATTTTAATAATCTAAACCGTTCAATATGTAGCATTCGTTGAGTACTATATCGTTGTAAATAATCACGTTGATCGGATATCGATAGCTATTTGATCGTATCAGATTTGTATAAAAAAATGGACAGTGAAAAAATAAACAGTTGAGAGAAATTTGATCCGATCAAATAGCTATCGATATCCGTTCAACGTGATTTTTTATAAGGATACATTACTCAATAAGTTCTACACATTGAACGGTTATATTATCAAAACGAGACCCAAAAATGAACCCATGAGTAAGACTAGACGGTCTAATCTTGATCTTAAACATGAGACAAGCTAGACCCTTAACAATAAATTAATAGTGTAAGAACGAACATGGATCAAATTGATAATTGAGGAACAAAATACACAAAATCATGAACATTTATTTTTAGAATAAATAGTGAAATTAATCCTTTTATAAAATTATAAAATGCCAAATGTAATTCAAATTTTTTTTTTTTTGAAGTGAAACTTTGTTTTAGGTGGGAAAAAATCATAAATTGTAAGGGTGATTATTTAGTTCTTCCAGAGTATGAATACGTGGTGCTCCATAAAATTTTGATTGGTGAAGATGGGTAGGGGCCCACAATTTATGTTAGAGATGGGAAACAATATAAGGGTTAAGTAATTGGTTATTGACTTGGAACATAACCACGTGATGCTCTGAGAATATTATATAAACTATCTATATCTATACTATATATTAAGCAAAATGGAGTTTTTAACTCCAAGTCTTGTGGGAGATCCAATCTCTCAATCTAAATTTTCTGATTTTTTGATTTAAAAAAACAAAAAAATCAGCATTTATTAACTTCTTCCAACCCCCAAGTCTTACCCTCATAATAACACTTTAATGCATTAAGAACAAGCATAAAAAAAATTCTTTGAAATCCAATACAAAAATTCCTTGAAAAGTCCCAACACATATGATTGTTATCCCTCATAATAACGCTTTAATGTATTAAGAACAAGCATAAAAAAAATTTCTTGAAAAATTCAACACATATGATTATTATCAAAATATTAAACTTTAATATAATATAATAATAAAAAAAAGACATTTAATTCCTTGAAAAATCTAACACATATGATTATTATCAAAATAATAAACTTTAATATAATATAAAAAAGGAAAAAAAGAAGACATTTAAAAAAAAAACATTTAAAAATCGCAATTCACATATATATAGATAATTGTAAACACGATCCGTGCATAGTACGGGTGATATGCTAGTATTATATAACGAAAATGGTATTTTTGTGAGGAGCCTTGTGAGAGTTTCAATATCTCATACTAATTTTCTTGATTTTCTTAATTTTAAATAATTAAGAAAAACTTTATTGGCCAGTTTTTATTTGATAATCCCACATCGAAAAAAGAAGAAAAAAAAAATAAGTTGTTTTACTCATATAAAGAGAATCTTATACTCTCATCCATTTAGTGAGAAGCAGTTTCAATATCTCGTACTAATTTTCTTAATTTTCTTAATTTTAAACAATTAAGAAAATCTCCATTGACTAGCTTTTATTTGATAATCTCATATCAAGAAAAGAAGAAAAAAATGAGTTATTTTACTTATATAAAGTGAATTTTATACTTCCATCTCATTTAATATTGTAGTGTTCTGCATGTTTCAATTCAATATAGTTTAAATTTTAAAAATTTTAATTAATTAATTATGAATTAACCGATTAGGCTAAATCATTTTTGATTTGATTAATTTATTGATTTAATCGCGATTTTAGCGATTTTATCAAAATATATTGATTAGATTTGTTTGATTCGAAATAAATAAAAGATTGATCTGATTAAAGACTGAGATTGTTTGATTAGAAATAAATTTTCTGTCCAAATAATTGTTAACTTTTATTTTATAATCCTACATCAGAAAAAGAAAAAAAAAACATAAGTTGTTTCACTTATAAAGGTGAATATTAATAGAGTAGTATTATGTATACTTCAAACAATTTAAATTTGACAATTACACTACATTTAAAAGTTTTAATTAATTAATTTTTATATGAGTTGGTTGGTCATTTGACCTAATCGATTAGGCTGAACCATTTTGGATTTGACCAATTCGCCAGTTTAATCGCGATTTCTTATATTGATTCTATTAATTTTAGACAATTAAAAAAATTTCTATTGGTTAACTTCTATTTAACCATATAAAAATAAAACTCTAATTAGTTTATGATTTATTTTATAATCCCACATTGAGAGGGAAAACAAAAAGTTTGTTTCACTATCTATATATTATATAAAAAAAAAAAATGGAGTTTTTAGGGAGAAGGCTTCTAGGAGCTTCAAACCCTTTATTTTAAAATTATTGAATTTTCTTAATTTTAAACAATTAAGAAAATTTCTGTTGGCTAGTTTCTATTTACCTTTTATTTTATAATCCCACGTCAGGAAAAAAGAAAAAGTGAATTGTTTCACTTACATAAAGTGAATCTTATGCTCTCATTTATTTAAGTAATATGAGATTTTTAGTGAGAAGCCCTATGATCAATATCTCATACTTATTTATTGATTTTCTTAATTTTAAACAATTTTAAAAATTCCCATTGGCTAGCTTCCATTTAACTTTTATTTTACAATCCACACAGTTTTGATTTAAAAAATAATTTTATATGAGATTTTGAAACTCTCATAGTATTTAACTTTAAAATAATTGCAATCTCACATCGAGAAAAAAAAGAAAAAAAATGAGTTGTTTCACTTATATAAGGTGTTACAATCCCACATCAAGAACAGAAAGAAAAAAGTTAATTATTTCACTTATATAAAATGAATCTTATAAAGAGAGTTTTAAGGGAGAAGCATTTTAGAAGTTCCAAACCTTCATTCTAAAATTATTGAATTTTCTTAATTTTAAATAATTAAAAAAATTCTTATTGGCTAGATTCCATTTACCTTTTATTTTACAATTCCAAATTAGGAAAAAAGAAAAAGAAAAATGTGAATTGTTTCATTTACATAAAGTGAATCTTATACTCCAATTTATATAAATTATTGAAATTTCTTAATTTTAAATAATTAAGAAAATCTTTATTGGTTAGTTTCCATTTAAATTTTATTTTATAATCCCATATCGGTAAAAAAAGAAAAATGTGAATTGTTTTACTTATATAAAGTGAATATTATGCTCCCAATTATATAAACAAAAGAAGATTTTTGGTAAGGATCCCTATAATCAATACTTTTTTTTTTTTGGTTTGATTTTCTTAATTTTAAACAATTAAGAAGATCTTCATTAGTTAGTTTCCATTTAACTTTTATTTTACAATCTCACATAGATGTTTTGATTTTAAAAATAATTTTGTATAAGATTTTGAAATTCTTATAATATTGAACTTTAAAATAATTACAATTTCACATCAAGAAAAGAAATAAAAAATGAGTTGTTTCACTTATATAAAGTGAATCTTATACTCTCATTTAATATTATAGTATTGTGAATGTTTCACTTCAAGATAGTTTAAATTTTAAAATAAAATTTAAAGGTTTTAATTAATTAATTTTGTTTTATCAAAATATATTGTTTAGATTTGTTTGATTTGAAATAAATTAAAATTGACCTTATTAAAAATTGAACGACTGAGATTGCTTGATTAAAAATGAACTTTCCGTCCAAATAACTATTAACTTTTATTTTACAATCCCACATCAGGAAAATGAGAAAAAAAAAAGAGTTGTTTCACTATATAAACCTTATGCTCCCATTTAATATTGTAATGTTGTGTATATTTTAATTTAAGACAGTTTAAATTTTCAAATTAAAATAAAATTTAAAAATTTTAATTAATTAATTTTTGTATAAACTGGTTGGTCATTTGACCTACCCGATAGAGTGAACCGTTTTCGATTTGATTGATTCGCTAGTTTAACTGCAATTTTAGCAGTTTTATCAAAATATATTAGTTAAATTTGTTTGATTCGAAATAAATTAAAGATTGACCTAATTAAAGATTAAACGACTAAGATTGTTTGGTTCGAAATAAATTTCCTGCCCAAACAATTGTTAACTTTTAAACAATTAAAAATATCTCCATTGATTAGCTTCTATTAAACTTTTATTTTATAATTTCACATCAAGAAAAGAAGGAAAAAATGAATTGTTCTACTTACATAAAGTGTATCTTATGCCCTCATTTATATAAATAAAAGGAGATTTTTAATGAGAAACCTTAAAATCAATATCTCATATTAATTTTTTTGATTTTCTTAATTTTAAATAATTAAGAAAATTCTGATTGACTAATTTTTATTTTATAAAATATAAAAAAATTTAATATAATTATTATATTTTTATTAAATAATATATTATTTTATTTCGTACCTAGCACGAGTGATAGACTAATTTTTCAAATGGTAAAGTGTAGTTTTAAACGAAGTATTTTCATAAAGATCTGATTGAGACCCCTATTTCACCTCACCCCCACAACCTCCACACACACGTGAAAGTTGACCATTGGTGAAGAAAAAAAATAAAATAAAATAAAAAATTGACCAATCAGCACCCACTGAGGATGCTCGGGATCTCCCTCGGTGGGGGTCAAAGCTTTTTCCATTTTCATATTGATGACGTGCACCCACACACAATCTTCTACAAAAACGATAGGAAAATACTAGAGGTCCCAAATTTTCTACTAAATAAATGACCACATGTCTAACATGAGTGTGGGGCCCACAAAATTGCGGACCCCATAACTATGTGAGACATTTGGTCATTTGTTTGATAGAAAATTTAGTATCCCTAACATTACTCAAAACAATATCGTGTAGAGTTTCATCAAAACAAAATCCAATTTGGGAAGTGATTAACTTTTTAACTATTTTAATCTAAGATTAAAAAGTCTCAATTGACATAAGTTTTCTAATTTTTTAATTTTTTATAAAAAAAATAATAATAATAAATAAATTAAACATGACATTTCATGTAAATTTATTTATTTATATTAAAATAGCACCAAACCCAAACCAACCGAAGATGCCAAACGAAGGCAAAAATCAACAAATCTGAAAGCTAGGGTTGATGGTGCAGCCTACGTCGCCTCCTCCACCGTTCGCCGGCGTAGCCACAGCCTGAACTGCTCATAGCGACTTCTCTCACTTCTCCATCTCGAGACTCCAATTTTCATGATATTTGATGCAGGGTGAGAGCTTCTTTACATTTTGATTCAATTTTTCCTGAACAATGCTCTCTTTCTACTTCTCTAAAAATCTACGCCCAATCCATGGTTTTGTTAGTGGCTCATGGAACATTCATCTCCTCATTGCTCCGAATACACCACCCATCAAAAAATTCTTCTCATCAAAGAGTTTTGTGTTAGAAGATTCAAACAATCGTTCCATTGATTGTGCCCCAAAAATTGATACTTTATCATCTAAGAAAGTACAAAACACAGAGCTAGTCAAAACCCTCTTGAGGAATTATGGATTCACCAATACCCAAATCTCCAAACTTGTTGATGTGGACCCAAATATCCTTTTCTGCAATCCCCAGAAAACCATCTTGCCTAAACTTGAGTTCTTTCGGTCTATAGGCTTGTCAAGCAATGACATTCCAAGAGTTATCTGTGCTAGCTACTGCCAAGCTTTATTGTCCCGAAGCTTAGAAAACCAGTTAATCCCTTGTTATAATTTCCTCAAGAGTGTGCTTTTTCTCGATCAAAATGTCATTAAAATGTTGAAGCATAGTCCTAGGGTTCTTCTATTCAATGTGGAAAAGATACTTGCCCCTAATATAGCAACATTGAGAGAAGCTGGGGTGCCTCAATCCGTAATCTCGTTCACGATGTATCGTTCTCCGAGCACACTGTTTCATGAGAGTCACAAGTTCAAAGGAGGTGTGAATAAGGCAATTGAAATGGGATTCAACCCTCAGAGATCGATATTCGCTCACGCAGTCCAAGTGCTTTGTGATATGCGTGAGTCAACTTTCGAACGTAAAAAGGAGGTTTATGGGAGATGGGGTTTGTCTAATGATGAGATTCTGTTGGCATTCAGATCACATCCGATGTGTATGAATTTATCGGAGGAGAAAATTATGGAAACAATGGATTTTCTTGTGAACAGGATGGGTTGGCAAGCCGCGGTTGTTGCTAGATGTCCAGTAGTCCTCTTCTTCAATCTGGAGAGGAGGATCATCCCACGGTGCACAGTTGTTAAAATTCTGCTGACAAAAGAGTTGGTGAAGAAAGATCTGCGCTTGACTACTTTTCTAATACCCAGAGAGGAAGTGTTCCTGGACAGGTTTGTGAACAAATATCAGGATGATGTTCCTGGTCTGAAGAATATTTATTTAAGGAAAATGGGTCTTGTCGAACCAAGATTAGGATCTAAGATATGAAAAGAGTGGATCAGTCTTCACATTTATATGAGCTTTAGTTTTCGTTCGACGGTTGTAACCTTACCTCCACACACTAGTTCAATTGGAATTGTTCTGGAGACACAGATATTATGGCTTCTGCTAGGATTGTTTTGAGTGCTTTCATATGCATTTCCTTGATGTTTCAGATAAGAAATGGAACATGTTCTTTTGATAAGTAACGCAGCATGCATTAAATTCATTAACATATGTTCAAAGATGTTACCGAAGTTAGCAGGTAAAAACACATCTTCAAGTCAATATCTGTCTCCCATTCTGGTATGTGTGTCTTCTTTGAAAAATCTATCATTTCTAGTAGTCAATGAAACTAAATTTGGCAGTGAGGTTTGTGTTTGTGCACAGCAAAGCAATAATTGTTGGTTGGAGTGAATATGCCTAGATTTTCTATATGACTGGTGTTTTCCTTCTAAATAACTTGAAGAGAATATTTTCTTATTTTCATGTAATTTGCCCCCTTAAGCTACCATTGCTACATCCCATATGGCACATTTAATCCTCTGACATTAGGTTTAACCTGTTCAAAAATTGATTTTCAATAACTACATTTGCGAACCTGTTACTGATTTCCCATTGCTGGTTATACCCAACTCTGGAAAATGCTTTTTCTGTAACCCAACTTTTTCTATTATTTTTAGTTTGCTTTGACATAAGTTCTGTTTCAGATCCTTGCTCTCTTGAAACTGTGCTTGGAGAAACAAGCCCTTCATTGCCTTAGTTTCCTTGAGAATTGTTACAATAATTCAAAATCCATTTCTGCAAGAAAGTGTTTCTTTTTTTTTTTTTTTTCATGCTACTTTTTCGTATTATGCGTAGTAAGGTTGTTTTGTTCTTATTCCTCTCCTTTGTCATGAATATTTAGCATGAAATAAATAGATGTTGAGATGTCTCTTTCTAATTTTGGAATGGCAATCTGCCGCCGTCCCCCCCCCCAAAAAAAAAAGTTTGTGTGGCTTTTCCCTGCCAGCCCCCATAAGAAAACAGGGGACTACAAACCGGATTGTTTCTTGTTCTTTCTTCTTTTGTTTGGTTTTCTTTTACTTGTGGGTGTGTGTGATAAAACTAACAGGAATTTATTTGTAGCTACTTATTGAAGGAGAGAGAGGAGATTATTTTTTTGGGGGAAATCAGACAGTCTTAACAGCTTTTGAGTAACAACCTTGCTTCATACACCCAGTGGGGGTCGCGCCCCCAGTGACGTGGCGCCCCCCACTGGTCGGAAATCAAAAAAAAAAAAAAAAAAAGAAAAACTATTTTTTCCGGACCAACCCCCAGCTGACACCTCACTAGGTGTCACCCCCAGCTGGGGGTAGGAAGCATTTTTCTTTTGAGTAATGCGAGTTGCAACTGGACCTTCCAGTCCAAAAATTATCATGAAGGTCAATGATCATTGACATTTAGCTATGCTTATATTTGGATGGGTAATATTATACACATTAGTAAGGTAAATTTTATAATTTTTTAACTGTTCCATATTTCAAAGTTTCAAATTTGTTTTGTAAGATTTATTAGTTTGTATAATATTTTCCAATTTGGAAAAGTGAGGGGAGAAAATAAAAAGTAAATTAGGCTCTGTTTGTTTGAGTTTTGAAACTTTAATTCCAGTATAATGTTTTCACGTAGTGTTTGTTTGCAGCTTTCAAAAATTAATTTCACTCTCACTTTTAAAAACTCGGTTGAAGGCGGGAAAATTTAGACTAATCGGTCGTCTAGCCGGTTGACCGAAACAGTGTAATTTTTTTTTTAATTTATTTATGCAATTGACACATTAATTATTATATATTCAACAAAAAAATATTTTTCAAAATTTTTAAATTTTTTTGAGCTTTAATAGAATTTTGAGTTGTGAGTTTGGTTATAAGTTGTAAGTTTTTGTATCAAATATCATATGTCACATCAAAAAAATTTCACTCAATTCAATTTTTTTTTTTCAAAAATCATTCACCGAACAAAATTTTCACACTCAAATCATAATTTTAAAGCTTACAAACTCAAAATACAATTCCTATTCTCAAATCATATTTAGAAAATTCTATCAAAAGTTACCTTAAATTTTTTACGAATATTCATTTTTTACAAGTAATTAAACAAAAAAAAAAAAAATATATATATATAAATATATATTCATTTATTTACAAATTTTTTTCTAACCCAATAAAAAAGGAAATAATATCCGCATCAGGGTTTCATTTCCTTTCGGGTCGGGTAAATCAACACTATGGTCCCACGCAGATGGAGCCAGTAACGCATTGACACAGGAAAGTTGGAGAGAGAGAGAGAGAGAGAGAGAGATATGGCGAATCGACCGGGCGAATCTCGGTGGAGCGAGCGAAGGAGAAGCTACCCAGATTTTGCCCCTCAAACTAGTTGAGTTCTTGCTTCGCTAGCTCTAGCCTCTGTTGATTTTGTCTATCACTGACTTTCGGGAGCAATGTTTGGCTTTCTTTGTCAACAAAGCCGACTCAGATATGTTGCAATTTCAGGCACTGCCCATCTGGGTTTTCTTGAAAACCTAAATATAATACAACCCATCAAATTGTTCTCGTCAAAGGCAAGAACAACAAAAAATGAAATCGAACAACAAGAAGAGGTTTTTACGGTGTCTTACCTCATAAACTTACGTGGTTTGAGGAGAGGCATGATTGGTCCTAGAGGAGAGATCTTTTCTGCAGAGGATGCTGACATTGCCGAGTTTGAAGGTACTACAAGAAAAAAGGAAGGTGCCTTCTACATATGGACCAGTCGTGATTTTTATGAGAAAAGTGGGGTTTATCTATTCATTTTCTGGTGGATGTGCATGTTTAATGTATGCTCCTAAACCAATCAAAGAAATTATTGGTTCCATTCAACCCAGCTTCTGGTTTGTTCTCAAAGGCCAATTTCTTCTTTAGAATTTGGTGGGACCAAATATATTGACATGGATAGGCCCACAAGGCATACGGCCCACAGCAAATCACCCCAAACCCATCGCTTGGGACCAATAGCATAACCCGGTTGGCAAAGCCTAGGACAGCTGGAGGCCATCTAGACATGGAGGGCCAATGGCATTCGGGCACATGGCAGGTGGAACACAGGCCACATCAGCAGACAAAGATCTGCAGAGTTATTACCACAACACATCACCATTAATGCAGCCCATCACAGCATTTATTACGACAACACCTCCCCGTCGGAACAGAGCCCCCTCACCCTGAACAAGGTAAGCTACGGCACAGGCTTTCGGCGGAAGGGGGGCACGTCACAAAGGACAGTGAAATGATTACCAAAGGATATAAGCAAGGATAGAAGACAAGAGGAAGGTTAAGCTTTTTATCTCTCTCTCTCTCTCTCTCTCTCTCTACATTTCCTTCTTCCTCTACTGATTTTCTCGCCGGAGGGTTCACTAGGGGACTGCTCCATTCCCCTTTGGACTTACTTGCAGGTCATTTGGCGGAATCATCACCCTGAACCGGAACTTGAAGAGCTTGGACCAGCCCGACCCATCCACCCGGGACGAACAACATTATTAGTTGGCGCCATCTGTGGGAACTTTGTGGTTTATTCGTGCGCTAGTTATGTTCATTATCGTCGGAGCCCTCCTTTCTCACCGTTACCTTTTCCTCTCACCCGTCCAGGTGTATGGTCACGACTAGGTCCATGGCTTCTCACCACAATACCGCCGATCATCAAACAGACCCTTCCCATCCAAACAACCCACCACAATACATCATCGAACTCACTAACAGCATTAACCGCATGGCCGAGCAAAACCAGGCCCTGATCAGTGCTTTACTCCAAAGAAACCTCCCCGTTCCACCTCCAGATGTCCCACCCAATCAAGAAAGAACCCCAGGCCACACTGCTCCACAACCCCCTCCGCTCAACCCAGAAGGTTTACAACCCCCTCCTCCTCCACATGTAAGCCTACCACCTCCACTTCCACCTCCACGCCCGACAGTCATAGCACTGGCTCCTGAGGGGGAAGCCAGCAGTGTCCAGCCTCCATTGACCGACCATGGCGACAACATTCCCCTCTGGGACACTGAACTCCGAGCTATGAAACTCCAACTACAAGGAGTCATGCAGAACATTCAGCACAAGCCCTCAGTTACCGCCAACTCGCCTTTTCTTGCCTCCATCCGCGACAAACCATTGCCCGCCAAGTTCAAGATGCCTACCATTGACTCCTTCGATGGCACGACGGACCCAGTCGACCATCTGGAAACCTACCGCACCCTCATGATCTTCCATGTTTTCCCTGACGAGATCATGTGCCGAGCTTTTCCAGTGACACTGAAGGGATCAGCTCGGTTGTGGTTTAGCCAGTTACCGGCGGACTCCGTCTCCACCTTTCAACATCTCAGTGACTCTTTCCTGAGCCATTTTATTGGAGCCCAGCGTCAGAGACGCCCAGCCACCCAAGTCCTTAACATTCGTCAGACCGAGGGGAGTCGCTCCGCAACTTCGTCACCCGCTTCAACGCCAAAGCCCTTCAAGTAGCAGAGAATGACGACAAGGTCATCCTCACGGCTTTCATGGCCGGACTGCGGTCGTCCGACTTTCTTTTCTCCCTCTCCAAAAACCCTCCAACCACCACGGCAGCCCTATTATCTAAAGCCCAGAAATACATGAATGCTGAAGATTCCTTGGCCGCTCGGCGAGAGCCAACCCTTAAAAATCCGACTCCCAGAGACAAGAGGAAAGACTCAGAACCCAGGAACGCCCAGTATAATAGCCAAACACCCCACTATAATAACCGACCTCACCGAGCTGCCCGGTCGGCTCCGACCCGACTGCTCGGTCGGTTCGAGCGGTACACACCACTCAACTCTCCCATGGAACACGTCCTCAATCAGATCCAGCGGAACTACCCCCTCAAATGGCCCCTACCTTCACGAAACCCTTCCACGCGGAAAGATCAATCCAAGTACTGCCGTTTCCACCAAGACCATGGCCATACCACCGACGAGTGTATTAACCTCAAA